GCTACGAACTAGAGGAGCTAGGGCGACTTATACACCTGCGAATACTTTTTGCATCCCACTGTACGATGGCTAAACTCAATAAATGCCGTCATTTACCGTAAGAAGTCGGTCAAGCCGTGCCTCGGACCGATAGAAAGGACAGTATCCAGTTCTCGGCCTAGTCGCGACACATCCCCCAGCATTTAACCCCTGCTATCTGCGGTAAGTGAAGCAGTTGGCAAGGTCGTGGTCAGATCGGAAGATACATCAGCCACCAAGGTATCCACACCTGCGGATTGATACTGTAGATTCTGATTTTCTTCAAAGCCAAGTTAATTTAACAGAAGTTCCAACTTGCAATAGCATAGTTATCTTTTTATTTGCCATATCAACTGCCAATAGGTCATCTATGCTAACGTATTTGACCACCACCCCGCCCACCTCCAACACCGCCACACCGTGATAGCATCACTTTTGGTTCCACAAGTCAACCTCAGTTTATGTTATACGAAGCTCCATATAATAGAGATGATAATCTCTACCCTATTTACTTTAATTGGGTTAGTTCCAGACCGACAATCATCCGAGGGGTTTACAGTACAGGGGCCCAAACTTTATATCGTAAACTCTGATAGAATAGTTGCCGATTTTCCGCGCAGCCCTTGAAGCTTACCTATTAGAAGCAAATCATCCGAAGAGAAACGAATGCCTAGCTTAGAACTAGGAGGGTAATTCCCAGCAAGGTTATAATGGCATATAGAATACAAGGGATCCCGGATATGTAGCTTGCATCCAAGGGAAAGTGACAGGGTATACCGTACATCTGCATTTAATTATCAAAAGCAGTTAGTTTAACCCAAATATTTCCAAATTAAGTAGGTGCTGGATTATAAGCCTTAACACAAGCATTATTTACTTGACCTTGGTACTTAAACCAATAATCAAATCTAGCATTGACAGAAGCTGCTATTGATATACCGAGTACAAGTAATAAGTAAACTCTTCAGATTACCTATGGTAGACTATCCCCGGTAGGTTTAAGGCCTCTACCAGGCTTTCTATCCATACGCGTATGGATTAATTAATCCATATGGAATAATCCATATGCGTTAATCTATATTCCATACGGGGATGTCGTATTCCATAAGTATAGCAATACGACGGAAAAAATTTGATCCCTGTAGTAATCTCGTTCAGGGGCGATTTTCTAACTCTCTACTCTTTCTTTAATTCTAACATCACTGTGTAGGGACGCTGCGAATGTCCTCGCTGATGACGTCCACTTCTACTGACCCTGCGGGGATTCCAGTGTCTATAAGCGAATTGTGCTTTTCCTTAATGTTTAGCATGAACCCTCGATTCTTAAGCGGCGATGTCTAAGGGCGTATGGCTCGAAAGCGTAAAACGACCGCAAATACTTGGGTTCATGCCCGTGAGCCCCTTAATTCGGAGCCATCTCGTTGCGGTTGCAAAAATGAGAAGATTTACTACTGTATGCATTGTGTAAGTCTGACTTACTCTACGACTGTTTTAATGACCTTTCGGAATCATCTGCTTAAGATACACGGCATTGAGCTGGAAGCCCATGAATATCCGATTAAAAAACGGCGTGACCGTCTTATTTAGGATGCTTTCGCCAAGGCCGGCGAGGTGTATGCTGCAAAGCAACTGGCAAAACGAGAAGAAACTCTGAGATATGCCATTAATTACAAAGCAGTGTTGGAGGCACTTATTCAGCTCGTGACTGTCTGTAATCTCTCTTATAACTGCAGTTCTTGGCCAGAGCTTTATGCGCTCATTTCTGCAGTTAATCCTGCGGCAGATGACCTCATCAATCTTTCTCACGGCTCCATACAGAAGCTTGTCTCTAATTCCTTTCGTGTATATAAAGACATGCTGCGAAGAAAATTGCAGTCTATACCATGGAAACTTCATCTCTCTGCTGATGTGTGGTCTGCTTTAAATCGCAAAGCTTTCCTTGGGATATGTGTTAAATTTGTAGATCTGGATGCAAAGGAAGCGCTGTAGGCACTATTAGCTTTGTCGGAGTTGCCAGGTCTTGACGGGCCGGGTAGTCACGGTGGTGCCGAACAATGGAAGCTTCTTTAGCACGTGCTTGAGGATTATAATATCTGGAATAAGGTGGGATTCTATACTGGTGATAACTATGGATTAAACGACAAATTATGCCGCTTACTTGCCAATTATCTCCAGGAGAAGGGCGTCGACTGGGAAGCCAAGACCCGTAGAATCCGGTGCCATGGCCATATAGTGAACCTGGCAGTTTAGGCTTTCCTTTTCATAGACTTAAAAGAGGCTGCTCGAGCGGCTTTGGAGCATATCGAAGACACCGATGAATTGGCTTTTGGCACTGATTTTTCTGAAAGGATTAAACCACAAAGGGCGTAAGGATGGCGGCGGCATGGGCCTCTTGGAAAGGTGCACAACATATCGATTCATATGCGCGAAAACGACTATTGATGGAATGAATTCAAGAAGCGCGCTGGAAGATCGCTGGGGCTCGATAATGATATACGGTGGAACTCATGGTTTCTCCTGCTGGACACCACTCTTAATCTTCAGAGCTATGTTGAGTGGTACCAGAAGAAGTATTACCAGGATTTGCGAGATGACTACCTCACGCCTGATGAGTGGAGTGCTCTAGGGGAGATGCGCGCATTCCTTCAACCGTTCTGGAAGATCACTCAGCTTACAGAGGGTCGTTACGCCACTCTAGACCGTTCACTTTTTACAATGGATGTTCTTCACAAACATTATACACAATTGAAAGAGGCGAATGCATGAAGAGTTGGATCAAAAGCGGGATAACACAAGGTTATCCGGTAGATTTACCATGCAGTACCCACCTGCCATACGTACCCACCTACCATACACCAAAAAAGATTTTCCCTATACAAAATGCCCAATTTCACTTATAGAGTATGTTATTAAAATGAAAGATATTTTAATAAGAAAATATCTATTACATTAAGGATTGCATAGAATTTAATATTTCCACTTTGCTTCCACAGCGACGCTTGCGATGTGGTCGCACGGAACTAATATAAAATGTCTCAAAATGCCTCCCTTATCAACCAGCCTCCTCGAAGCTTCATCCAAACTTTTCTCTTCCCCATCTTTCCTTGGTCACCTCAAACATGCCTCAATCATCTTATACGGAGGACGATGTTATCCAGGCCATACTAGATGTCACAGAAAATGGCCTCTCCCAGAACCAGGCCGCCCAGAAGAACGGCGTGCCTCCGACCACTCTCTCTGACCGATTAAGAGGCCTACCGTCAAAATCCGAGGTCACCCAGCCTGCTCAGCTGCTATCCAAGTTGGAGGAGTCCATATTGGTTACCTGGATACTTCGACAAGAGGCCTTAGGCTATGCTCCTTCTCACAGTCAAGTTCGCGCCACCGTTGCTGCCCTCTTAAGACAGCAAGGACGGGAAAGGCCTATCAGTATACACTGGCTAGCTAGGTTCATTAAACGCCATGAAGATATCAAGACAAAGGTAGGGAAACGCCAGGAAGCTGCAAGGTTCAATTCCTTTACCCCAATGGCCGTCAATTAGTACTTTAATATCCGGGAAAGCGAATATAGCTAGATCAAACCGGAGAACACGGTTAATATTAACGAGGGCGGTATCATGGCTGGATTTGGTAAGTATTGATCATTTTTGCTACCAAACTCACTAATCCACTGAAAAATATAGGCTTAGATTCCTTGGTCATTGGCAGTAGCAATCCTAGGAGGAAGGCCTTCCTCAAGGGCTCTCAGTCCCGCACTTGGACTACCTTTATCGAAGCCGTCACCGCAGATGGTCGTCTTCTGAAGCCGGGGATTATCTTCAAAGGTAAAGAGCTTCAGCAACAGTGGTTTATCTACGAGCTCCGGGGGATCGCCGACTGGTATTATATCACGTCCGACAATGGCTAGACGGACAACCATATCGCAGTCGAGTAGCTCAAGGAGGTCTATCTGCCTCAAACGCAACCGGCGGATAAGTCTGATGCAAGGCTCATCATATTAGATGGCCATGGAAGCCATGTATCTGTAAGTATCTACCTGTTCTAGATTAGAAATGCCACTAACGGCGCTGACTGAAAATCTAGGATGAGTGGATGGCTACGTGCTTTTTGAACAACGTATATTGCTGTTACCTGCCTGCACACTGCTCTCATGGGCTGCAGCCGCTGGATAATGGCGTCTTCAATGTATCCAAGGCTGCCTACCGAAAAGAACTGCAGAAACTTGCCAGCCTGACCGATTCTGCGCCGGTAGACAAGGTCAACTTTATCAAGGCCTATGCCAAGGCCAGGGAAGTGGGTATGACGAAGAAAAATATACTCTCAGGCTGGAGAGTGACTGGAAACTGGCCGATTTCACGGCGGAAAGCGCTCATACATCCTGAGATTCAGCCGGACAAGAAGGAAGCGACGCCCGGGTCGGACGGCCACCGAGACAGGCAAGTCGACTCTGATAATACGCCAAAGACCAGCCGCCACATCCGAGATATGGGGAAGAACAAGAGCCCGTCAACAAGAAGGCGCTATTCTGTGATATCGAAAGGGTTTGAAGCTCAAGAGTCAAAGATCGCCTCTCTGAGCACCAGAATAGCCAGTCTGGAGGAGGAAGTTGGCCGGTTGAGCAGAGGCAAGAAGAGGAAGGCGATACCGAATCCCAATAAAAGATTCATGACATTGGCAGAAGCTCTGGTAACTGGTGAGACTATTTCCAAGGCAAACAAAGCAATTGAAGAGGCTGATGCTGTTGAGGATGTGATCGAGGTGGGAAGGATGGAAGAAGTTGAGAGTTCAAATTCGGAGGAGGAAGAATTAGGTGTGGTACGCACACGCGCAGGGCGTGAAGTCAAAATACCGCGAAAATATTAAAATCTACTTTATTCTAAAACTAAATTCGAAAATCATTTCACGGGTTTTATTTTTGGTGAATTTTTAACATATGGTTGAAAAATAGCATTTTGTATGGGGGAATTTTTTTTTTGCTGTACGGTAGGTGGGTACGTACGGCAGGTGGGTACTGCATGGTACTTGAAGCGGAAGGTATTGAGGACAACGTAGAGGGGTTAGATGATTCGGCTGGCTGGCAGAGCTCCAACCCAGATTCGGTTTAGTTGATAATGTAAATGACGTCATTTCTTAGTTTCCATATGTATGGATTAAGTTCCATATGGGTTGCATTCCATATTCCATATTCCATAAGGCGCCGTATGGAGTATGGAGTATGGATAGAAAGCCTGCCAGTCCCTCCTGGAACGGTTCCTTCAACAACGTGAGCCACCGGAATGGGATGTCCAGTCTGTAGATGAAGATGAAGCTGAGGACACGGAGGAAACAGTGGAAGAAGACAGCTCTTCTTCAGAAGAGTATGATGACGATGACTTGGGAGATGTTGGCCTGAATGATTTGGGGTTCAAGGTTCCGATCAACTACACCAACTACACTTTTCGACCCAGAGTAGTGTAATTGTAAATTATGTAAGCAACTGTCCGGTGTAGTGGGTGTAGTGTGCTACACCAGCGCCTTTGGTGGATGTAGTTGACGGTTGGTTTGTCGTACACTTTGCTCACGTGACTTGCGCTCTTGATCATGGATGGTACTTGCCCAGCCTACTACCCCTCACTCTCTCCCTCGTCGCCCTGAGCCCTCAGCCATGCCGTTGCTTGTTCTGCTAACTCGCCATCACTCATCCCAAGACCCTCATAAATCTGCTCTTCCTCGCGCCACGAGATCAACATCGGATCCAGTTCCTTGACGATCCCAGCCCTATACCATGACCGCGATACCTAACAGATGGAGATAATTTGGGCATCTAGAAGGCTTCGCGACGGCACCGCCATTCTTCCGGCAGCTGAAAAGAGCCTCTCGCACTCTGCAGACATTGGCTGAATGGTCAAAAAGTCCAACGCCATCCGCGAAAGTCGAGGGTATTTCAACCTCCTTTCATGCCAGTACGTAATAGGATCGCGAACTCTCCTATCACTCGCTTCGCGGCTACCTTGCCATGTCTCGTATTCATCACCTTTGACTGCTTCATCGTCTGAAGAGTCGTATCTTGCCGGCATATGACGACTGTTGGCCTCGAATGGGCTGAAGAACTTGCGTCTTTTTGCTGGACGTTGGTCGTCTGACTCGTCTGCTTGAGAGAGGATATCGGAATTCGCGTACTCGGTCCTCCAAACTCGGTAAACCATCTCCTTAGCCTTGTCGACCCATTCTGGATGGGTGTCCCAAGTGTGCTCGAAATACGCCCACTTGTATGCAGGATGGAGAGCAAGAGCGGCATAGTAGATGGGTGTTTCATCTAGAGCTGAATAATACTTTTCAAGCTTGTCCCAGGCGAGATTAATCCCGATCCTGAACTGTTCGGCGTCGGGAAAGCCTGCTGCAAGCAATTTGTATTGCTCTAGTTTCGAGAGGAGCTCTTCGAAACCTAGAATCACATCCCATATGTTACCATATGAGCCCAGAAACCCTCGCCTTCTCTTTCTGACTTGTCCGTCACCCTCCAGAGTCCTCACTACATTCTCATAATGCGTCAATATCTCCTCCAGGCACCGGAGGGCTTCCCAGTCGCTGTCCGTTAGCTTGTTCTCCTCCTCGCAGATACGTGGCAGTTTTGCGGACTTCCTGACCTGACCCGTCCTCTTCGACCTATTCTCATCTTCCCACTCCTGTTTGTACTTTACCACCAGCAAGATAAGATATGGCCGAATTTTGAGTGCCCTACGGATCATGTACAGTTGGGAAAGCCAGCGGGTATTATTGTCTCGCACCACAGTAAGTGGCTTCCTCGATCGTTCCCTTAACGAACTGGCTTTGCTGATTGCATCTTGTTGAAGATCTCGCAGCAAGTACATCAATCTGTTGGACCGAAAGATGTCATAGACAAGGTTATGAAGCTTCCCAACGGGGCCCTTGCTCCTCCATGATTCCCAGTCTGCTTCCGGCAGGGCCGACGCGCCGGAGAGTTGCTCTTCGAAAGCGCTTGCGTTCTTGCCAAAGAGCAACGCCTTTGCTGACAAGTTGACCGTGTGACCGAAACAGCGGCCTCGGCGAGACGCACCAGTGAAGCCTAGTTCACGACCAATGGCCCCCATCGCTGTATCATTATTCTCTGCGTTGTCAAGCGTGAAATATCCTATTTTCTCGGTAATCTGGTAGGCTGTCAAGATATCAAGGACTTGAGCTGCAATATTCGATCCACTGTGGCGTACGGAAACCTCGGGCACACCCAGCACAAACTTACGGGGCTTATTGTGCTCATCCCTGAAGAAGCAAGCGATTCCGTACAAGGTATGCCGGTTTCCCGACGTCCAGCCATCGAAAGAGATGTGAATCAGGCCGGGAGATTGTCGAAGGACGTCGATAACGGTGTGGCGGTGTCGTTGATACTCAGTGATAATCCTGGTCCTGAGGGTATCTGCAGATAAGTGGCCACCACGTATTGACACTGATGGACTAAGATAATCGAATATGGCTCGGAGATCCTCGTCTTCGACCGTGAGAAAGGAAAGATTACTCTTAACGATCCATTGCATCACCATCCGTTGAAAATGGTCCCTGTCAAAGTTCTTGACGAAGGAGTTCGCCATGGCCTGCTCCCGCGGCTTTTCCGGATCGAGCGTCAAGGTATCAGCTATTGAGCGGTGCTGCTTCTCGGCGCTTTCCGCTTTCAACTGCGTCGAAGACTTCGTCTTGCCCTCTGGCGCCCGAATATGATGTTCTTTGAACAGATGTTTGCTGGCATTTTGAAGACCAGTATGTGTGAAGTTCTTCGGCTGGGGGACTCGTTGGTGAATGCAGAGTTTGCATACCCATCTTCGCTCATGAGCCCGCTGGATATCATACCCGTAGTCCCAAGTCCACGAGGAGGTGTCCTTTGCGCGCTCGGAGAAGAGCCAGCCGCGGAAATGACGAAACAGACGTTCTTCCTGTAGCTGTTGGGCATCAGCTAGTAACGTTGATGGTGAAAGAATTGGTGGAGAGGTCTCAACGACTTTGTCTTCTAAAGGATCGGTCATTACGGGAGGTGTGAATGTGTCAAACAGATCGATGAAAATTTGGACCTGTACGGGAAATTACCCCAGGATATCCTCTATAACTACTGGGGGCCCGAAAATAAGTTAGGAAATACTAAAGTCTGTGTGGCTCTGCCCTCACAAAAGACAGTACCTCCTAACAGGGTGGATCCAGATATCCAAAACTGGATACCCTGTCCCACTAAAAATCCACCGCTGCAAAAATCCACTACACCTATGTATGTATGTATGTATATTTTTCGTCCGGGGGCCGTGAGGCCCGTAAAGTCCCCTATTGGGGCACAGGACGTGCTGAGCTAGAGTCTCTAATGCTAAAATTTACGTAAAGCTTTCGCAAATTAAGAAACGGACCACTATCCAGCATATCATCGGCTCAAAAGCGCGTCCTGTCGAACCTGTTACCCGTCAGCGGGATGACCAGGTGCGACTATCATAGCGGTAGCCGCTATATCGGTCAGTTTTTAGTGAGACTGGGGAGAGGGCGGCGGCATGGTCGCACGAGGCGGCCAAGACCATGAGAATAAAGAAAAGAAACAAAGAACCAGAAGGGAAAGGAAGATAGAAGGAGAGGAGGAGACGCAAATGCATCTCCGATCTGCCTCGTCTAGTAACGAGTGCATATCCTTTCGAAGAAGGCGCTTGACTTGGTCAACTTGATATACTTGTCGAAATTCCTTCCTATTGCGAGGTTGGCCGCCGCAGTCGGCGAAGGGGCGAGCCTTATTCGAAACCGCCGCGGTACTTTCCTGCAGTAGAAGACATGGTCAGGTGCTTTGCGTCGTCCGCACGAGCAAGTCACCCGCACGTCGTCGTGTTTGAATCGTTCGTGGTATGCAGCGAAATCCCCATGGAGGGATCTTGCTGCGAGTAGATGGTGCAGGGCAGCCCGTGGGAGCGAGAGCTCCGGTGGGCAGCGTATAGTCGCCTTGAGATTCAATCTCTTATATTGCTCCGGCACGGAGGTTGTCCACCATGTTTCGAAAGCTTCTTTTGGTTTCTGCCTCGCCACCTTTCGCAGGTATGCTAGCGTCGGCTGAGCGCCTTCCGGTTCTGGCAGCGAGGACGCTGCCTTTGCTAGTTTATCGGCTTGCTCGTTGCCGGGAATGTCCGTGTGGCCAGGTATCCAGCGCACTTGTGTAGCTCCGTGCGATGCAGCTAACGCCTGGAACTCGACGAAGACTGCTTGTGAAGAATCAGACGGTGTGCCCCGTAGGCATGTGGCGGCTGCCAGGTTGTCTAGACAGACCACAATGTCCCGTGCCGCCGATTCTGGGAGGTTCAGAGCGGCTTTGAGGCCCTCCAGTGCTCCTGTAGCTTCAGCGTCAAAGACCTCGGCAGGTCCAAGACGGCCCGAGCCGTCGCAGATGGAGAGGTCCTTCTGGTGAATGGCGAAGCCATAGCTGGCTGCTCCCTCCGAGGACAGTGCAGCGCTGACCTCAATTCAAGTATCAAGTCAAGTATTTCAAGTAAGTCAAGTAAGTCGACGAACCAGTTTATTTCAAGTAAGTAAGTTTATAATGCTTCAAACTTGATTTACTTGAAATACTAGATTTTATGGATTTTCCTATGCGACAGCCCTGTGAGTTTCGAGGCTGTTCGGAGTCCCAGGCATAGGGTAATCAATT